GTGGAGAGGAGACGGTAGGACAGGAGATGGGTGGTGGAGAGGAGACGGAGAGGAGACGGTAGGACAGGACAGAGATGGGTGGTGGAGAGGAGACGGTAGGACAGGAGATGGGTGGTGGAGAGGAGACGGTAGGACAGTGATAGAACCCTGTTGGGTCTCGGGAAGTCCTTACTGATGGACGGATGGTGGGACACTTGGTGAAGGATCTCCATCTCCTTGGCGGTGGACATCCGCACCTCCTGTAGTTGCTCTGGACTCAGCCTCTCCGGCGTTACCTCAATGATCTTTGCGGCGTATTCCCGTCCCGTCTCTCGGTGTATACAGCGCCGGACTGTGCTGGAGACCCCCCTGTGAGGGAAGAGAGCCAACACGTGTGCTGACATGGCATGTTCCTGACTACATGGCACAGAAAGGGGCGGGATTTTGATCCTTTACCAACCCCCGCTGTGTGCTGTCATCTGCAATCCACATGAACTCTAAATGATGAACATCGTGTGATCACAGCACACCATGAATTGAGTACCCTGACATTGTGATTCGTATGGAGCTGGTCAATCGACTAACGGATTGCGGACTCCCTGACTTGCTCCAGTCGCAGGATAGATCTCGGTAAACGTTTTATTCCCTTTTATTTTATAGTGAAGTCATTTGTGTGTCTTCTTGTATTTCTGTAACTCTTTATATTTTGTACATATTTTATGCCCCGCCCACTTTTGGGAAATTAAATCTTAAAATTAATTAGTGACTTCTGTGTATTTAAGCTCCGGCTCATATCTCCGGAGAGATGGGATTGGAGAGATTGGATCGTATTTTAGTGCCTTTAAACACTCGGTCAGCTCATTACCAATCTGTATGCAATTGCACTGTGTGTGGGCAGATTGCATGCATATTGTAAAGGTAACAGATCTGCCAGATGGAGATCTGTGTGTGGGGGTGTCCCAGCAGACCGTTCTGTGGATAAACTGTTGGGTGGTGGCAGGCTACAGTTTGTGGTGTGTCTGATGTGGGGGGTGTGTGGGGGAGGGGTGTCTGGTGTGGGGGTGTGTGGGGGGGGGGTGTGTCTGCTGTGGGGGGTTTGGACAGATTTGTATCTGCCAGTGTGTGGTCAGCCATCTGGATTGGAGTGGAGTCTCCCCCGGTGGTGGGCAGAGGTAGTGCGGCTGTGGAAGGATATCCCGGCTGATCTTATATACGGTTTTACATATTCAAACTTAAGTCCCCTTTATTCCCTCTTACCCCCAAGTCACGGCCACACGTGCGCCTCGGATAGCTAGTCACTGTGGGTGTGGCGTGAACTCGTGACATTGGGGTGAGGAGGGAAGGCTCACTGATGGGGTGGGGAGGGAAGGCTCACTGATGGAGGTGAGGAGGGAAGGCTCACTGATGGGGTGGAGGAGGGAAGGCTCACTGATGGGGGTGAGGAGGGAAGGCTCACTGATGGGGGTGAGGAGGGAAGGCTCACTGATGGGGGGTGAGGAGGGAAGGCTCACTGATGATGGGGGTGGGG